ATTTGTTACGATCCACACAGTTGAATGCCTTTGCACAGCCAATAAAACACTAGTAAACATCTTTCTAGTGATCTTTGCTTTCAGCCAAGATCCACCGGACATCGGCAATGATACCCTTTTTTCTACGTCCTCTTCTGAATCCAGCTTGAATTTCTGACAGTTCCTTGTCAATGTACTGCTGCAACTGCTTTTTTTTTTTTTTTTTTAGGCCAACATGTTCTTTGGATTTAGACTGGGATGTCAGTCTAAATCCAAAGAACATATTGGTTACAAAAAAAAAAAAAAAATCCTAGGCAATATTCAAAAGTCCTTTCCTATCCAGGAATTCTCTGTGTTTCATGCTTCGTATTTAGAAACCAGCAAAATGAATGCCGTGATTATCACCACTCGGCTAGGTTTTGGACTCCCTTTACGTCAAAGCTTAAGAACTCAGCAGCTTTGATGCCTCTTGCTTCCCTGCACTTGGCTGAACCGCATCCTCACGTAAGGCCACCTTAATCTTATCATCAACCCTTAGAAACTGACCGTGTGTCCACGGAAACGTAGGAAATCAGGGTATGTCTTTTCCCACCGCATCAAAAAACTTTTCAGGTTCTGGGAAAATGATACTTGTTGATATGGTGCAAAAGTTAAAAGCATTACATTTTCATATCATATTTTAGGGATGTATTTCGTGTGAAGGTATATTAGCAAGTGTTTGCTGAAAAGAGTTTGGGAAAGAATTTTTATTTTATAAACAGAAATATTTATTAAATTGTTCAACATTTTCTGATATTTCTCTTTCTTACCATTTTTATACCTGTCATTTCCTCTGCTGCTGTTAGGTGCCATCAAGTCAGTTCCACCTCACAGAGACCCTGTGTAAAATAGATCGAAACACTGCCCCGTCCTGTGCCATCCTCACAGTCATTGCTAGGCTTGAGCCCATTGTTGCAGCTCCTGGGTCAGTCCATCTCATGGAAGGTCTTCCTCTTTTTCACTGACCCTCTACTTTACCAAGCATGATGTCCGGGGACTGGTCCCTCCTGATAACATGTCCAAAGTACATGAGATGAAATCTTGCCATCCTTGCTTCTAAGGAGCACTCTGGCTGTACTTTGGGGAAGAACTTTTAAATTGTGGTGTGTATGAAGTTCACCAATGCCAGGGTCCCCTTCTGATTTTGACTTTGCTCACAAGAAAACCGGGGCTGAGTGGGGACTGTTGATGAGGTCCCTGGCAGGTTAGATGTGCACAGATCCAGGGGTCACGCCTTGGGAGCCGTTACACATGTAGAGTATTAATGCGCCTAAGGCATTGTGAACTAGTGGAGAAAGAGGCTTCCAGAACACACACAATTTTACCAGAAAAGGGAAAGTCAGACGTTGTGAGATGTTACGGTGACTTTTGCTGTAAAACAGCGTATTTCTAATCAGGGTTCCCCTGTTAAGTGTGATCTGATAGGGGCGAAGAGACCCCCTGGGAAGCCCCCTTTGTCCACCCCTCTGGGCAGGGCATCTTTGCTGAATTCCTTTCCATTTAGCCTGCATCTGCCTCCTTGTAAAGCCTAGGGTCATTCCCCTTTTCAAATTAGTCCCTTCCCAGTTGGTCCCATTGATTAGTAAGTTACCTAACACTGCTATAACAAAAATACCACACATGGGCGGCTTGAACAAACAGAAGTTTATTCTCTCATAGCTTAGGAGGCTAGAAGTCCGAATTCAGGGTGCCGGCTCTAGGGGAAGGCTTTCTCTCTGTCGCCTCTGGGGAAAGGTCCCTGTCTCTCTTGAGCTTCTGCTCCCGTGCGATCTTAATGTGGCTGGGCATCTGTCTTCCCCCATTCCTGCTCCCTTCCTTGCTTATCTGCTCCTTTTATCTCTCAAAAGAGATTGACTCAAGACACACTTTACACTAATCCTGCCTCATTAGCATAACAAAGACAACCCATTCCCAAAAGGGATTATAACCTCACGTATACCAAAGCAAACCCTTTGCATTTAGTCAAATCAGACTCATTAGTACCCTACAGGACGGAGGAGAACCGCCCCACAGGG